GGGGGGGGGGGGGGGGGGGGGGGGGGGGGCAGATGAGAGGACATGCAGATAACATGAAAGACATCGACTAATGACATCACTGACGACAGCGGCACGGCAATCCGGCCACTCGTCACCGTCATCACTGAGGTCCTGTGACTGTCATTAGTGGCTCAGTAGAACCAGATATTGACCCGGACTTTTTAAAGATGCCATTATAACCATCTTAAGGTTTTCATTAATATGGGCTAGTGGGGAAAAATTGCTCATTAAAATGATTGATTTTACAGGCAAAAGAGAAGAGTGTCAAGAAAAAGGTTTCAAGCGAGTGTGCATGTGCACAGCAGAGTGTGCCACGGTCATGGCGTCTCACTTTAATGCCTTTCTTAGGGGGGGTGGGGGGTTACCAGGGGAGAGACCTGGACGAGCCACTGGAATGTGGTGGTGCGGAGGACTAGGGGGGGCGCGGGGGTGAAACACACAACAGACGGTTTTGTGTGGGTCTTTGTGCTGCAGCCAAGCCCTGATGGGAAAGAGGGGCCGTGACTGTAATTCCTGACAGGGGCCCCGCTACGCGCCCCCCTGCTGGCCAGGGCTGAGAATGAACCAGCGAAATGCTGAGTCAGACTCTGCCACCTGGGTGTGCCGCTTCAGCCAAGTTCAGATAAGCAGGGACTTTTATAATAGGGATGTTTAAAACATCATGGCCCTTCTTGGGGCTTAGACAGGATGCCCTCACTGTAGGGGCACACAAAGAACCTGCTGCCCCCCCCTGAGGTCACCTAAGAGGCAGGAAACAGGAGGTCTGTAAAATGGCCGAGCTGCCATGCTCAATATGTAAATATGTACCGTGTACAAATACTGCTGCCTGCCTGCATGTTCAAGCACAATAAAAATACAACAGTCATTAGCCTGTTCAGAGACTGGCCATTGATTGGGGATTACAGTGTAGATGTAACATTACGGAGGAAATGAGCTGGAAGGAATTCTTGGACATTTCAGACGCAGCATCGAGGACGCGTGAGACCCGGGGTCTGGGAGACAGCGGGCAGCCGCTTCTAATTTGGCCACATGAGGAAGGAGCTTAAATTCCCCAGCGCTGTGCCGCCTGGCACCGTGCCAAGGTGGAGCAACACCAGGAAGGGCTCCCGCTTGCTGATGTGTCCGGTGCAGAGCTGCTTTAACAGCTGCACGTCTGCGTAGATCGAGTTTCAGGCGAGTTCTGGCGCATCCAGTCCAAGCAGCGGCCAGAATGATGGAGAAAAAAATAAATACAATACAATAAACCCCGTGGCCTGCAGCAGGACCTTATGGGATGCCAGCACCCCCTGCTGGCCATCCAAGTGTCAGCAGTATCACTTCTTCTGAAGTCAGTCAGTGCAAACTAATCCCCCCCTTTCTTGCTTGTGAAGTCCTGCCATCCTGAGACAGCACTTCAAACCAAAGCCAAATTGTGGTTCCTCTGAGGGAACCAATAACACACACATGCACAATAACAGAGACACACGTTCCGATTTTTTGTAGAAGCCGCAATCCTGTGCTGCCACCAACTCCCCTCGCCTGCTGCCAAACTTCCCCTTTAAATTCAGTCCACACTGCTCCTCTCACCTGCTGCCAAACTTCCCCTTTAAATTCAGGTCACCCTGCTTCATGTAACGGTCCGCCATCCACCCCCCCCCCCCGGGCAGGCGGGGCGTGCCGGCATCCTCCCACCGTAACCCGACTGGTGCTGGCCTGCTACTTGAGGATCTTACTGAAATTCCCATGGTGCCCTTTGGCCAGTCACAGAAGACGACTCCTTCTGTCTCTGTTCCAGGTTTTCCTCTCCGCAGTCCATCACCGCACCCCCCCTGTTCTGTACAGCAGCTCAGCCTCCAGGATTCACAGCTATTCAGCTCCTCCAGCTGAGTCTTCAGAGGTTCTCACAACCACCGAGGTTTGCACTGAGCTACTGGGGCCGGCTGAGGACCCTTGCAGGAATTTCAGACATACTCTAAAGCAGGAATGGAGCTCCATTAACATCCACCTGCAGCTGTTCTATCATGAGGGTGCTGGCCTGCTTCGGCGATCCAAAGGCTGCTTCTGTCATGCCTGCCTAAGCTGAGGAACATCGAGGGTTTGTCACGAGTGCTAAACATCACTTTGTTCCTCCACCTCCTGCTCCGGGGTCCCTTCTTCAGCTGCTGCGCTGCCTGCCGGCCCTCTGATTGATCCTGGCCTGGGCCTTTCCCTGTAATTCACCTCTGTCTGTCCTCTCCCCCCACCCGCGGTCTCACCCCCTTAAGGGGCTTAGTGCCAGAACATAATTAGCACCTTCTTCTGGGCCAGTGGGATGTGTGTCAGTTAGGGATCCCAACTTGTGACCCAAAGATTGCATGTTTACATTATAGAAGAAATTCTACTATTGCAATTATTCTTTTCGAAATGAGTAGTTCTGGTCTACAGCTTTGGAGAAATATCCAGCTAATTTATTATTATTATGATTATTAAAGCAGATATTTGTTACTATGGCTATATGGTATGCCAGACTTGAAGGAGACAGGGGAATGGATGGATTCTTCAGTCTCTTCCATTGTGGTTTTGGACCTTGCAGCATCTAATCAGTTCCTTCTTTGCTTTTGAAACAGAGAAGGTGGAAATAAGACTTCTAATAACCATATTTATTATAAAAAGGTCACTTTTGTTCGGGGCTTCCGATGGCCTGCCAACACAAAGTAAACTGAGATTCAAAGCATAATTTTAGGTGAGACACTGTATCAACTGGTCTAACTGGGATAGCTGGGGGAGGCAGCTGTTCTGCACCCAGAAGCTAACAGCCAGAGGTCTGGCTCAGTCCTGCTATTTCATTGCATTTATTTTCTATTTATTCTCACTTTTACACGTGTTATGGCCAGACAAGACTACCCACTCTTAATTTAATTACAACATTTTCGTGCCCCAACAAGCTAACTGACCTGTTAATTAACTTTTTCGTGTGCAATCTGGGAAAAAATGCAGCGTGTTTATAGAAAGGTTTTTTTTAAACTTGCTCCTTAAAACTGAGAACCCTTGCGATTGTCTTCAGGCCCTCCTGGCACACGGCAGAATTACACCCGGGTTATTATTTTGTTTTTTTTGGGGAGCAAAGTGGGGGTGGGGGCTGCGGGAGTAACAGCCGATGCTCGCTTCACTAACCATAACAAATGATGCTAAATCTGAGGCTTGGCGAATGGCTGGACTCATATTCACCCCTGAGCAATCACCCCCGAACAGGAGGTGCAGGCACTCAAACAGAATCCTCCGCCCACACAGACCAAATTCATTTTCCACAGCTGCGTGATGAAGGCTGTCGCATCTATGTACCGAGCAATTGATCACACTCATGGAACTGCGTTGGGGAACAAGGCATCGCTAATGGATTCACGCCCAAATTATACATGGATTGAGTAGGTGTAGGGTGACATGTTATGGCGGCACTGCGTTGGATAAAAGCTCACGAAATCCAGCTTTGGCTCTATATACAACTTCTCTGCCCTGCGTCTTAAATTGAGCTGCCATCAGTTTTTAAGCAAACATTGTGTTTTGCAACAGAAAAACGTTGGGTGCCATAGGATAGGAGTGGCTCTCGAAGTATACTGTATAAAAAAATGCTAAAAAATATCTGGCAAGAACTACTGATGCTCCTTGACTTACGATGGGGTTATGTTCCAATGAACCCAACCTAAACTGAAAATATCCCAAGTCTAATTTGAATGTGGTGTGATATGAAGTATTTGGGCGTTCAGTAGACACAATGGGCTTGGGAATCTGGTTAAGGAAAAAAACAAGTACGATATGTTGCTAAAGACTGTATGAGATATTTACAGATTGCTACAGAGACTGGAAGCGTGGCTGCGTGGATGCTGCTGTCACCCAGCATCGGTAGACAGTATCGTCTGGCGTATCACTACCCCAGGAACAGATCAACATTCACAGTTTGATGGCTACTAAATGTGCATCACTATCGCACCATCATAAAGTTGAAATATTGTTAGTTCACAAAGCATCTGTAGAAAGGAAATGAGTTAATGGGCTTATCAGAACTGTCTCTGAGACAGAGAGCAATACCATGATTACACAGTGGGATTATGGGACATCTAAAAGAGATGACACTCTATGAATAGTGTGATTATGACAGGCCTATGGGACATGGAACTTTAACCCATAATGGATTTTTTGAAGTTTTGCTAAAAATGGAAATTATTGACAACAGTATGGCTGGTGTGATGTCATGGGAGGGAGTTTGGGAGTCTTACCAGGTACAGAGGTGCCAAGAGCCACAAACACCACAGCGGTGACAGAGTCCTTCAGCCCAATGGTGCAGCCAAAGTGGGACGCCAGGTCTCCGATGACGGCGGTGAGCACACCGATCATGATGATGGAGACCACAAAGCACGCCCAGCCATTCCAGTAATCTGTGGGTGGCACGAAGGCAAACAGAACCTTCCAGAACACTGTCAGGAAGTGCATGACGTAGTCAAAGCAGGAGGGCAGCTTTTCTTCGCCACAGTCTTCGTCGTCGTCGTCCTCCCCTGCAAGGCGGAGATGAGAGAAGACCATCACTGAGGTCTGTAATAACACCTTATACTAAAACACACCAACGCTCTCACCAGCTTTCAGTGGATATTTGCTGACCCCCAACCCCCTGCAACATTGAATTTCCTTCCCTGTGAGGCAGATAAAAGCACAACCTAGAAATTAATGCCTGTTCCTATCGCACATTTTTTGAAGCCTTTTCTCTCCTGAATGTCATGACAGTTCCATAAGAGACAGCAGTGTTACTTCTGAAAAGGTTGAACACTCTCGAAATTCCATTACCGTCTCCCTGTATCTTCTTCACTCTCTTTTGAGGGCAATGTGACTCTCGAGAGGCACATACTAAGCACACAGAAGCATCGGAGAGCCAGAAACAGAAGACAGAAACCAAAAAGGTCCTGTGGATTTACCATAGGGGCCATTTCTGTGCAAACAATGGCCACATCCTTCTTGTACCGTTGTCTCCTTCCAATTCCCTAATTGTCAGCTGCATAAGGCTGAGTTTGTGATCGAGTGCGACAAGCAAAGAATGAACAAACATGACTGGTTCCTTTGTTTTATATTTTTGGGTGATGCTGCTTTCTGAAGCTCTGACCATCTCCAGGCGTGGCACACAGAGTGCATGGGTTAGGATGAAAGAGAAGCACGCGGCTGCAAGACAGGAGGGCGGGGGGATGACAGGTGATAAGGACATATCCCTTCACGTTTGGATTGCCAGTGATCATACAGGTTCTGCTTCTTCTCTTATCACGAGCCCAATGCCCATTCCTCTTTGAGGAAAACCAAAAATGTAACTTTTCGTTTACATTTTCTTGCACGATTTTGTTAAAAGCATCTCGACTCTCATCCCTGCTCTTTCCTCCATCCCATGTCACAGGCTTGTGTCAACTGCTCAGATCCCGTCTTACAGTTGATGGCCAAATGCACTCAGCCGATCTCGATGTGCTTGATGAAAGATCAACACTGAGGGCATACTGAACTAATTCAGTGAAATTCTTTGATAGTGGTTCCTTTATGATACTGGTACTGTGGACTTCATACAGCCAGTAGCAACAAGTGGAGTTGGGTAGGTCAGGTCCAGTAAGTAAAAGTCCAGACCAAGATCTTGTTTCAACCAACCAGCTGAGTACTCTGACTGTGACTTTTTATACTCAACTGGTTGGTTGAAGCAAAATCCTGGACTGGAGTTTTACCCTCTGGACCTGAATTACCACCTCTGTTGAAGTGTAACTGTGAAGACATCGCACATAATGGAGCACAGAAGGCATAATAATTTTACGGTAGCATGCTTTTCCAAAAGCGATTACTGCCTCCTACTGGTGAGGAGGTCACAGATACAGTGATATGGATTCCAGTGGCAGATTTCGAAGGATGCAGTGAAGACCCATGTCTACCAAACTGTTAGCACTCTATGCTAAGACAGGAGATGATCCCTGACAGCTTGGATAGTGGACAGAGAGTGAAGGATTCAAATGCAATTGGTCTGCAGTCACTGAGACAGGATATTTTATCATTGAAACCAGAACAATGGTGGTTGATTGGAAGCAGGTGAGGGTACCACATTGGTCCAGAGATTAATTCAATATATCTGTGGAAAATGGGGCTGTTGAGTGTTATATTGTTTTTTCCGTACTGACCTGCCAAAAAGGAATGAAACTGAACAAGGGGGAATGAGACAGAAGCAGGCTGCAATCATGAAGCACAGATTTGGCTGCAAGATGGGGACACAGCAAAGGAATAAAAGCGGTGTTGGGTTATTCTCCAGTTGTTGGAATCGATTGGCCCACTGCTCCTGTGTGAGGGGGATCATACATCCCACCGAGAACGAGAGAAGGAAATTCCCCGGGAGAATAAAATGGTTTTCGAGGTACGTCTGACAGGTTAACGGGACATTCTTTTGAAAGAAGTGAGATATCCAAAAAAACCTTCTTGCTTTCTTCTCCAGTTCAGGGTCATGGTCAGTGCAGAACAGCTGCTCGGTGGGTGGTTCCACTGATGAATCAGGGACAGGGGTGTCCGGCCAGTTTGCAGTGGAATAAAATGATGAAGAACCCGTTGTTTGTCTTACAGAGTGATCGTTGTTTGTCCAAACTGAAGGAAGCTCCCTGGCACACAGACTTTTCCTGACAGATGCTGATTTCATTCCAAAACAGGTTAGTTATCCATCAGGACTTCTGGCTTATCTACAGTGAAAATCTTCCAACACATCCAAGTCAACAGAACCACAAAAAATGCATCAGTAATGACAACAACACTGTGGCAGGCTCCACTGTAACCATCTCCAAACAACTAAAGACTGCATAGCTAAAAAATTTGCAAAAACAGTGTCTAGAGTTTTTAAAGATAACCAAATGGCTTACGGAAACTACTTCACACATTATTATGACAGAATACAAAGAAATTATGTTTAATTAGCTCTCAGATATTGGGGCTGACCAGACGCCAAATAGGGTCTGCTGCTTGTCCTGCCTCCTCCAATCATCTAGCACCATCAAACACCGGAAGTGAGCTCATGTATCTCAGGTGTCCATACACTAGTGGATACAGCTAGTAGAAATTTAGTTCCACCCGCAAGCAGAACTGATACATCCAAAACTAACCTCACAGTCATTTATCACAATAGAGTTATGATGACTAGAAAGAGGAACACAAGGAAAAGTTAACTGCAGTCACAAATCGTGAACAAAACCTGGACAGCTCAATCAGCCTTGCTTAGGGGCATAAAAACACAAGAATGTTTGGCAACCAGTCAGCTATAAGCTCACCAACCAGTCAGCTATAAGCTCACCAACCAATCAGCTATAAGCTCACCAACCAATCAGCTATGACAAAGCTCACACGTTGAGGTTGCAAGGAAGTCGTTGCACTGAAATGGCACCACCGCAGTGCCGAGCAGGCACAGGCCTGAAAGCGGACGGGCCGGACTCACATCTCCCTGGCTTGCCAGTCCAGCTCACTGAAGTGTTACTCACAGACTTCTGGCTGGCAAGAAGAGAAACCCAGGTACCGGAGCTAGACACCAGAGCAGCGGTGAGATAGCTTAGCCAATTACCCTGCTGATGAGAACAATGAGAACAATATTACAATCATCTTTCCTCCCCCCAGCCAGAGCCCGCTGAGCCCAAAGACAATGCTAGTACATTCCGGAATAAACGTAGGCCTGCCTTAAGGTCTGCCTCGGGGCCCACGAAGGCACAGACCGGGTGAGGAAAACAGCCGAATAAGGGAAACCTGTATAATTTTATCCCTCCATTCTCATCAAATGAGTATTGAGACCATGGCTTGTGTAACGGTGCTTTGTGTGTGGGGGGGGCAGCAATTAAAAAATGTATCCGACAGCCAAGCAAAGCGACTGAGCCTCCCCCGAGGCGAGCAGGAGGCTGGCCCTGCCCTTCTTCCTGTCCTTTCATTTCCTCATGCTACCTCCTGCCAAACACCTCCTCTGGTCCTCAGAGGTCCGCTACGGAGAACCTTCCTACCGAAAAGCCGACAATGAAGCCGATCGATTCAGCTTCACCACTTGTTTATTGCTCAAGCCTCAGATTATTTGATGGCCCTCTAGGCAAATCTGCTGTGGTTGGGAAAAAAAAAAACAATTAAACATCAGATGGAAAGTACTGGGTATTTCTCATGGTGTCTGTCTAGCTGGCCGGCTATGGGGGTTAGTCAACGATGGGGCACGGACTGATTAATAATCCGTGGTAGTGACCCCTGGATCTCCCACCTGGAGGCGCTGTTTGGTAGGCCTCCTAGACGGTAGGCCTCCAGTTTCCAAAAACTCTTCCTCAATTTAAAAAGATGATACCTGAAAGGGAGAGTGTCACAAAAACAGAGAGGAAAAAACAAATCCATAACTTTAAGATTTTTCCAAACATATTTCATATGCCCACTAGAGAATATAAATTCCTCCTTTGTAGGTGAGGCTGAATACGAAAAGGATGGTTTATACTAACTCTAGATGGTTCTTACCTGCCAGAATCCGGCCCCCACACCCTCTCTGTAATTACATCTGCCCACTGCTTTTATTCCTATCACAATTATACACCTGCATCTCCATTAGGGTCAGACGCGCATGCAGAATGCAATACTAATGAAGGGACAGGACTCGCAACCAGACGGGTCACGTACTGCGCTGCTGCATCGCTGCTTAGAGTGCTACTGTAGCTGCGTAAACGTTTTTTTTTTTTTTTTATTTAAAAAAAGGAAGTCACCTTGACTATGGGACCGATTGAAAAATGAGTAAATAAATTCAGTCTGTGCGCCTCAAGCCATTAGCCTCAAGGGCGGCAGCGAGCAACTGTAAAATTTTGTGGCTGTCACTGACAATGCAGAGGATTGCAACAAATTTACTGGGCAACACAGGGTGCACTTCTGGGGTGTGACAGTTCATCAGGCCTACGGAAAATTAAACTGAATTATGACAAATGACTAACAGGCCGTTAAAGCTGTGACAGGAGAGAGAGGAGAGACCACAATTCTGAATAGCAGGTAGTTCCGGCTCTTTAAATTTCACAGCTGTGTGGGTGTGAGTGGAATTCTGGGGGACGGAGTCCCTGCAGGGCAGTGGCCATTTCCCCTGCACTCGCAATGTTCTGCCAGAATATTCCATCTAAGACTCCCCACCTCTTCTCCAGATAAAGACAACAGCAAAAGACCTTGACCTCAATCGAATATCCTAAAATTAAATGATTGTTAAAACAGAGACAAGTTACCCTAAAAAGACAATATCTTATAGTAAAGTATTGAAATCTGGGACAAGATTGAAACACATGAAGGAATCAGGTCAAAATCCTCATTATTATCATCTTTTCAGTATCATCTTTATAGTACAGCCCCCCCAGAGGAAATTATAATTCCAGTTGCAGGGTGACACCATTGTTACTGTGATATTTTATAGTAATACTATGTGACAAGAGGCACGCTACAGCTCATTATTTCATCCAAGGAGCTCAGAAAGGCAGCCCGCTGATTCCCACACAACGTTTATCTCTCCACG